GGGAGGGAGGGATAGAATACAGACACACACAGGCACATCTCTACACATGTGAAATACGGTTGTATCTCACAGAGTGAATGGAATTTGCAACTAGAGAAATTCCGCTAAAAGGAAGACCTTCCCCAAACACACCGGTTGGAAGCCATGTATGACTCCTCTCTTTGCCTCTCCCCATTCAGTGCAGACTTATCCATACATTCATCACCTCCTGGGAAACGCAGGGTAACCAGTGAGAAGAGCTTGGATTTTGAAGTCAATCTGACATCTGTTTGAGTGAACCACTTAATAGCTATGTTACCCTGGCAGTAATTTCAACTCTCTGAATCAGGCTGCCCACTTAAAATGCAAATAAAATACCCACATTGCAGGGTTGTTGGAATGACTGAACGTGGCAAAGTGTGCAAAACACTTAACCTAGCACCTGGCACAGAGAAAGCTAGCAATAAACAGCAGCTATCACATTAATAGTTGTTGGCTTGGCAAGTTGGGGAGGGGGAAGTTCACTACGTTCATTTTGGGTTAACAGAAAAGTTCTATTTAAAAGTACTTTACAACAAAAAAGATTATATAACCGGTTACCTTCTAAACTGGTAGTATATACACAGTAATTATTCCTTGAAAACTTGATCAATATTTGGAAATATCATACTAGTGTTTTTTAAATATCAAATGGAAGAGGGGGGCTAGGAGGGAGTGTTTCTAATTAACTCAAAACTACAAAAAATGTATGCCTCCATTTTTATAGTATCTAAGAATCACATGTTCTCCAGGTTTACTTATATTGTGAAATTAAATTAATTTCTAATGAATTTAGAAAGATTAAAGCATAAATATCCATACGCCTCAACTATCAGCTCTTGGGTTAGAGCCATGATTAAACAGTCCAAATAACATAGATAACCAACATTCCCATTTAGCTACTGGTCACGTGACTTTTTCCTCCCTATACAATATATTTACCTCTCTGAACATATTTTGCCTAGCTTACAAATTAATTTGCAGCCCTTGGCATACCCAAGCTCAGTAGTAAGAAATAAGCAGCCAGTAGAGCTGGTTTCAAGTTAAAAATCAGCACTGGACAATTCTGACAGCATGGCCTCAGAAAGAATCATTCACCTACTTGCTCTGAGAAAGTAACGGTTTATGTCAGAGATGGGGTGAAAATGCTTATCTCATGTAATTCACCTCTATAGAAAGGGCTAAAGGTTTTAAAAAAATCTTCATGTTGGTAAATTTTTGGAGTTATTTATAAGGAGAGTCTGTTGATATTTTAACAGCAATTTAGTAGAAACAGTTCTTATGACTACAATCTAAGGAATATGAACAATGTTCTCCAAAGACAAGTTAACAACTTCTAACCACCCTGACTTTCAGATCCTCTGGATTAACCAGAGAGGAAGAATTATTTACATTGAGAAGCCTTGAGAGAAAAATGAGTGGAGAAAGAAATCCAGCAAAAATGAGTTAAAACAATAAAGTGGGAAAATGCAGTGTTGATACAAAATGTCATTTCCGTCAAAGAGACACACAGATACAACAGTCCCTGGGAACCCCTGCTGTAGCTGTTCCTTCTTCCTGGAGCACTTTACCCCAGGTGTCTGCAACCCCTCACCTCCAGTGTCAGCTTCTCAGTGAGGCCTCCTCTGACCACACTGATAATCACAAACCAGCCACCCCACCTGTCACTCCTAATTCCCCTTAACATGCTATTTCTTTTCCATTGAACTTACCACATAAAATACAACACTGCATCTTATTTTGTTTATTGTCAGTCTTCTTCTCCTCCCCAGTAAAATGTAAGCCCCACAAAGGCAGAGATTTTTGTCTATTTCATTCACTGATCTACCCTTAGCAGCTAGAAGAGTGCTTAGAACATAGTAAGCACTCAAGAAATATCTGTTAACTGATGACTGACTGACTGAATACACAATTATGTATAAAAGAGACTCAAAGCAATATATTTTTGTGTTCCTTCTATTTATCACGTAAAATTAAACTTGATTTTAATTAGCCAAAAGGTCATATAAATAAATGTGCACATAGGTATGAAAATTACTCTACATTTTCCCTTTAATGTCTCAATCATTGACACATAATTACCTGCATCTTCCAATGGAACACAGAGCAATGGGATCACCCACCACAGCAACCAGGGACTGTGCTCTTGTGATGGCAGTATTGAGAAGTTTGTAGTTAGATAAAAAACCATAATCTAAGTCCTCTGTGGAATCTTCCAGCAGTTGTTCTTTCTTTTTAATTGGTGTCTGTTTATGTTTACAAGTATGTCTTGTACGTACTGTGCTAAGAAACAAAACTCTGAATTGCTTTCCTATTAAAAAAATTAAAAAGAAGAGTTAAGATTGTTATTCCGAACCACTGATAAAATAAAGAAGGCATTTTTCTTTTCTTTTCATGTTATTGCTAAATGACAGGTATTGGCAAGGATGTGGAGTAACTGGAACTCATGCACTGCAGGTGAGAATGTAAAATGGTATATAAAACACCATGGAAAACAGTATGGTGGTTCCTTGAAAAATTAAACATAGAATTAACACATGATCCTGTAATTCCACTTCTGGGAATCTACCCAAAAGAACTGAAAGTAGGAACTCACACAGATATCTGTATGCCATGTTGATAGCAGCCCTACTCACAACAGCCAAAAGGTGAAAGCAACCCAAGTGTCCCTCAACAGATGAACAGATAAACAAAATGTGGTGTATACATATAATAAAATATTATTCAGCCTAAAGAAGGAAATTCTGACACATGCTACAACCTGTATAAACCTTGAAGACATTATGCTAAGCAAAATAAGCCAGTCACAAAAGGACAAATAGGAAGCTTCCTTGAAGCATGAAGGTTCCTAGCCTCTCAATGCCCAAGGCAGACACAGCTGATTCCATAAGGAAGCCTTACAGAATCAAGTTTGTACATTTTTTAATGCTCTCTCTTATAGTAACACATCTATTCCCTCATTCTATGACAGATCTCCAAATATTTGAACAGTTTTCATGTCAGTCTTTAGTCTTCTCTTCTCTAGGCTAAACAATCCTAGTTCTTTCAACCATTCCTGGGTCCCATGTGGCAGTTTCTAGACCATTAACTAGATCTCCTTGGGGTGCTTTCCAGTTTACTAATACCATTCCTTCTAAAATGCACTCAAATTCTGCATGATCTGGACAACAAATGGTATAGTGGAGCTATTTTCCCCCATGATTTAGAAATTGTATTACTCTTACTACTGTATATTACTGTGAAACCTAAGATTGAACAGGGCTTTTTTAGCATGATTCACATCATAGTGTTGTTTCATATATACTTAAAAGCACAAACTTTATGACAACTAGTTGCTGGTAAGTATTCACTTAGGATAGTCTGTAGATAAAAAAAAAGCTCTGCCTTTAAAAGTTCATTTAAACAGAACTTAATTGACAGGTACATGTCTGTAAAAATTTTTATGAACAAATTAGTTCTCAGATAGAGTATAACAACAGTAGGTGTTATACGCTACAGATATCACATGTGGCATTTATACAATTACGATCATTGAAAAAGTTAATTTGTTCATACATCTTTTATTTGGATATAAAAATTTAATGAACATGTAAATGAGCTTGACCTTTAATTGCCAAATTTGGCATTAAAGAGCTTGATATGAAATGAAGACATAATTACTTGTCCAGAAAAGAGATCTTGAGAATTAAAAATCCAATGTGCACACACTTTAAGACTTAAGCATCTGAAAAACTTAGTTCATTTCAATTAATACTCACCTTGAACATTTAGCACCCTTTCTACATTAACATCAGATAATCTCTTTTTTCGAAGTTCAGCACGTATCCTAAACACTTGATCAGCATAAGGAGTCACCACGCCGATGCTGCCATCGTCTAACTTCCCCCACGCTACTGGCCACTTCCTTCTCAACTCCTCCACGCGTTCCACCACCTCAAATACCTTTAAACACACACACACAGTAAAGTTACACAGTGCTTAGAGAAAAGAATATGGTAACCGAAACAGCTGTACAAAGGGTTCCATTTAGCAAATGTCATTTGTAAATTACCTCTAAATAAGAATAATGCTTTGCTTTTATAAACACAGTGAGAATAAAAACATTTTATTTACATTTCAAACAGTAAATTCTACAATAATGCACCCCGTGAAAACATGAAAATCCAAGACGATGTAATTGGCAACTAACTGGTCCCCACCCTCTCTACCCAGTCTCCATTTTTAACTGAGAACAGGCTCGAGTTCCCGTGTAGGAGGAGGACAGGGATGCGGCCCTAAAACTGGCAACCCCATCAAGGGAAACAGAGAAGCAAGTCCCGACAGTCCCAGGAGTTCTCAGCCCACTCTCTCCAGAGAAGGCCAAAGAAACCAACCACCCAACTAGGAGATTCCTAGAGTGAGTGTCACCACTTAAGTCTCAAGCAGTAAAAGGTCTAGCACCGCCCCCTCCCCCAATGGTATAACTAAGCAGGCAGCCAAGAGCTGGCACCAAACCACTCCTGGGACTAGGACGAATCTGGATTAGACAGACAGACTTTCAGAATTCACTGTTGTCTAGTGGTACAAGTTCACCCAAGCCATTTCATTAACCTTGCAATAAAGTAATGGCATATTTTACCCAAATGAATACTTTAGATGCCACTTATTGGGCTTTTAATGTAGTTCAATTTATTTTAATTCAATGAATTGATCAAACAGTTCCAATGCTGAGCACAGTGGGAAATACAATGATTAATAAAACATGTTCCTTGCCTACTAAGAGACTACTGTATATTTAGAAAGCAAATTCCCAATTTAAAAAAATATATAACGCAAGGTCAACAGAGGGTCATTCAAGAGTCTAGAGAGGAAGGAGAACTTTTTTTAATGTCTTTTAAATACATGATTTATTTACCACTTGCTAATAAATGTCTACTTCAATTTACAACAGTAAATGTGCTTAATAAAATCTGAGTTTTCACTCCTTTCAAGCACTTAAGGGCTATTGGCTAGAATGCAGTTCCCACTTCCAGATACAAATGCAATGACTGACAATTGCCCTGTTTTACGATGATGTAACAGCAAGTGCATCAAATATACACATTGTCCGAGGACTCAGAAGAGCAAACTGGACTGAAGACATGGTGCTCTCGTTATAAGAAACAAGAAAGGTGGGTCTGCATCTACCATGAGAAGGAGTAAGACAAGGCTGTATCCATCCAATTGGTTAGATATGGGGATAGATGAAAGTTGGGGAGCGCCTCTGCTGCCCCTCTACAGACACAAGGAGTTCCTGTAAGTAACACAGACTTGGAATAGGGAAACCTCTCTTCCAGACAGACATCTACTAAATTGGTCAAAATTAGCAAGCAATCCCTGAATGCCTCTAGAGATTAATCTAAGAGCTTATAAGAAATTGAGAAGCATTTACTGTATTCAACAAAATCTACAGTAACTCAGTAAGAAGAGTGAGAGGCCAGGGCATACAAACTAGGGGCTGCACCCTCCCCCACAGCTCTGTCTATAGGACTGTTTCAGCAGCTGAGGGGCAGTTTCCAACTGCCCCAGGTCCCTGGGGTGAAAGAGCTATTCTAGCTGGTTTTGGCAGCTGGTTAAGCTCAGAGCTCCCATTTTCCTCAGCTCTATACTGGAGAAGGCCTATATTGAGCAGTTAGCAGCAACTGGGTGATGCTTGTTCCCCCATCCCAATCTCCTGCTACATAGGGAGGATTTGAGTGGGACAGTGGGGTGAAGACAGCAGTCTCCCTTTCCCGTATGGGCCATATTTCAGGAGAGCTGATCCACTGGGCTTTTCAACCAAGTGACAGTTGCCATTTCCCCCAGCTTCCTAGGACAGAAGGCCTATTCTGGGTAGATTCAGCAGCCAATGAATATCAGCAGATCCTAATCTCCCCAGCTCTGGGTTACAGATCTATACTGGGTGGTGGCAGTAGCTGATGGTAGCACCTGGATAGCAGCACAGTTTGCACACACATACATAACACACGCAGAGCTCTTGGTCCATTGGGGTGGGGTGGCTGGGACAACCAGAGAACAGCAAGCTCCACAACCTCCCACAGCAACTGCTCCCTAAGTTCTGCCCAGGAAATAGAGTAAGCCTCACAACCTGGCAACACTCTGATTCTGCCAAGAAGCCCACTTCAATTGGATCACACTTTAGGCAATTTATGTCCCAGGGAGATGGAAAGTAAAATGACTGAAATGAAAAATTCACTATAGGGCCTCAACAGATTTGAAACTGGCAGAAGAACAAATCAGCAAACATGAAGATAGAGATTATGCAATCTGAAGGAGAAAGAAACAAATGAAAAGAGCCTCAGAGAAATGTGGAACACCATTAAGCTCACCAACATACACATAAAGGGAGAACCTGAAGAAGAGATGGAAGGGGCAGAAAAACATTCAAACAAATAATGGCTAAACATTTCATAAACCTGATGAAAACATTAATCTACAGGTCAAGCTCAGTGAACTTCAAGTAAAATAACTGCAAGGAGATCCACATCCAGACACATTATAGTCAACATGTTAGAAGTCAAAGACAAAAATAAAATCTTGAAAACAGCAATATGAAAACAACTTATCACTTATAAAGAAACTTCAATAAGACTGAAGTTCTCATTAGAAACACTGAAGGCAATAAAGCAGTAGGAAAGCATATTTCAATGTGCTGAAAGAAATAACCAATAATCTAATATGCAGCAAAACTACCTTTTAAAAATGAAGGCAAAATAAGATGTTCCCAGTTAAACAAAAACTACTAGCCGACCAGCCCTGAAAGAAATACTAAAGGAAGTTCTTCAGGCTGAAAGTAAGTGACACCAGACAGTAATTTAAATCCACACAAACAAAGCACACTGCTAAAGGTAATTATGTGGTTAATTATAAGAGAGTATATCAGTATATTTCCTCTCCTTTCTCCTCTCAACTGGTTTAAATAGCATTGCATAAAACAACATGTACACAATTGTACTGTTAGTCTATAACATACAGAAATGTAATATATTTGACAATAAGAGCACAAAGGAGGTGACTGATAATTGACACCAGATGGTAACTCAGATCTACAGAAAGAAGTGAAAAGAACCAGAAATAGTAAATTAGATGGTTAATGCAGCAAACTCTCAGGATGCTTAAAAGGCATAAAATTATATAATTATAACAATGTATCACTGAGTTGTAATATATATAGATATAATATTAAAAACAGTAATAGCACAAAAAAGGGGAAAGAGGGAATACAGAAATGTGGGGTAAAGTTTCCATATTTTTTTAGAATTTAGTTTAAATCTGAAGTTGACTCTGACAAGTTAGGATGTATACTATAAGCCCTAGAGAAACCACTAAGAAAACAACTCAAAAGATAGTTAACAAATAACTACTGGAATTAAAATGTGACACTATAAGAATGCACTTAATGCAAACAGTGGTAGTAAAACAGAAATAAAGGGTCAAAACACACAAGACACAGAAAACAAAAAGCAAAAGGCAGAGGTAAATCCAGCCATACCAGTAATAACATTAAATGTGAGTGAATTAGACAATTTAATCAAAATGCAATTATTTTAGACCAGATTTCAAATAAAAACCATAAGAACACAGTGCAATGACGGGGTCTGTGAGAGGGTGAAAGGGGAAGGCTGGGAATACGCCATGCACACAGCACACGAGCTGGCTGCAGCAGCTGCACTCATCAGCCAGGCTGACTTTAAACCAAAATACGCTACCAGAGATAAAGATGGACATTTTATAATGATAAAAAGGTCAATCCTCCAGGAAGATATGACAATTATAAATATAGGTGACAACGACCTACAGCGTCCCAGTGTGTATGAGGCACAAACCACGTTCCCCTCTCTGCCACGGGCTCCATGAAGCCTGGTGGGCTCATTTTTCAGTATGTGTACAAGTCTGCCTGCTTCTCACTTATCCTGCCTTACTTACTGTTTCCATGGCGCCTCTCTTCATCCTGAATTTCTCAAGGTTAAGACTCGTGTCTTGGTGCTTAGTATTTAAATTCTGCTTCCCCCCTCCACCCTTACCTTGGCATTATATTAAGGCCATTTCATTACTGTGGGATACGAGTTCCATCAGANGGCATTATATTAAGGCCATTTCATTACTGTGGGATAAAATAAAAAAGGGATGGCCTTTCTCACTCTCTTTTATTCTTCCACGTTAAGCATGTGACAGACAAATTCAAGTGATAGACAAACACGTGACATACAACCAAAAAGCATGTTCCCTAAACAAAGGACAATTATACACAGCAAAGATGTTATAAATATTCAGCTCCAGGTTCTTTAATTTTACTTTTAATCTCATCCTCTGTTCTAAGTTCCTTATGAATGTAAGTCTGTGTGAGACTAAATTATTTTCATAATAATATGAAATCTAAAACATTTTCAGATCTCATAATGTCCTCCTAAATTTTAGTCAGAACCACTATAAAAGAAAAAAAATCTCATTTTCCCCCTCTTGATGTAACTGGTACCACTTGCTCTAGATCACTTTCCTCTCCCTGCACTCACCCTACCATGGCTGGTTTCCTAGATCTGAGTTTCACCGATGCATCTTCTACCCTCAAGAAAAGCCAACATTTTACTGCCCAAACATGCCTATACTGGTATCCAAAACTTGGAAAATCTTGCATATAAACCAAAGAGCTTCTACTCCCAGCCCAAACAACACCTATACCCCCTCTGCCAGCTCTAGTGAACAAGGATCAGTGTTTGCCCCTTGTAGAAAGAGCCCCTAGGGCAATGTATCTCACAGATTTTCACTGGAGTAACTCATGGGGCTCAAGACTGAGTGAACAGCCAAGCTCTGGTGGTGAAATTCAAGGTGGCTTTAAATTTCTCTCAAGTTACATGTTTACTATTTAAAATTCACACAAATCTTATCTTTATGTTTTAAATATGAAAAATATTTATTTTCCCCCCAAAAAATTTTTTTTAGTTTAACTGCCAATCCAGGATGATGCCCCTTATTTGTCCTATAGCCTGCAGGTTTCCTGGGAAACAGGCAAGTCACCATGAAGGAACAAGTGGCCCAGGCTGAGAAGCTTAGTCTCTGGCAAACACCAACCCTGCCCCAGGATCACAGTTAGGGCTCAGCTCTGAGCCCTCGTGTCACAATAGGACCACCAAGCCTTCTGGATTTCAGGCTTGCCTTTCTCTGTCAGCACTCACCCCAGCACAGCTGGTTTCCTAGTTTTCAGGCTAGTGGTTTGCAACCTGGGTATAAAAGTAATAAAGCAGACCCTAGAGTTATTTGTCACTACTTCAAACACTTAAAGAAAAGTTTACCTTTTCTTAAAATTAAATGGCACTAACTAAAATGTCAAGTTTCTTTGCTTTTGGCTAGGATTTTATCAAGTGGGTACTATTGATTTTCTTGTACTAACTTCTAACTACAAGTCTCTGATCAGTTTTTTAAAGGAAAATGAATTACTATTACATCATAAAAGCCACGTCTTGGAAAATAAAATGAGTAAAGAATGGGACTTAAGGAACAAAGGAAGATGGATACTGCAGATCAAGAACCATTCCCATAATCCATGCACACCCTGCCCCCTCCTCTGGGTTTCGTGAAGTCCAAAACTCCACTTGCTATGATGACCAGAACTTATCCAAACGGCCTCTGGCCTGCTGGTCCCTAAAGACTTCACCAGGTTTTTGTCTGCTGCCTTATCTAACCCCTTTTTACTGCCCACATTCTTTTGAAATTAAAAAGTCAAATTCTAAGAGAACCATATGAGTTGTAGCACATAATGGGTTAGCAACATCATCATCTTGGTCTGTGTGATCTCTCTGGAGCACAGGATTCTACAATTCAAGCCTTGCTCATTTAAAATGAGACCTCATTTGAGTATAAAATGTAATCACAGTCTATTTCAGATGGCTAACAATAATAATCTATATAAAATAATACCGGCTTTCCTTTTCAATGAAGTCTTGTACTTTGTATTTCATCATAAGACAAAATGTACATCAAAGTTTTTGTTTGCCACAGGAGATTCTTAATAAATCAGCTACACAAGAAAGAACAAACTTTACATACTATTTTCATGCAAATGAAGTAAACACCCAATAAGATGTCAACCAAAAATTTCAAATAAATGCTCAATAAGACCAGATCATGTGACTGCAAAATATTAACAATTTGCAAAAGAACTAAGGTACCTCTGCATTATTATAATAAGCTGTGCTATTTTTTTCTTGTACGTCTTCCCCTCGTGCTGTAAAGAAAGTTAGTGGGTAGAAATCCTTGTGTGCTGGTTGCTTTCCACTGGCCATCAGTTTGCCCTCATAGAAGAGCTCAGAGGTGTAACTGCAGAAAAAGACAAAAATAAATAAATAAAGAGCAATCTATCATCAAAATTAAATTCACCCATAAGAAAAAAATATTGGTCAATTCTAATAATGTTGCTTTATGTCCAGGATCAATTTTAATCTAAGCATCTAATACCAAAGAGGCCAAGATTTTCTCCAAAATTACAGCAGGAACATCAGAGTAGGCTCCTGGTATACCATTGCTAAATGAATTGATTTAGGTAAAGCACAAAACCAGAATTCAGAAAGAAATGACAACAGTTCAATGACAGATGAGAATCTTGCTCCAAGAGGAAACGTGCTAGCTAGTATATTTTCTTGGTTAATATATATTATTATATATGTAGATCATATACATGCAAAGATATACAGATATTGAAACAATACACACAACTGAAAGACATTCAAGTCTTCACCAATAAAATGAATGCTCTGTACTGATTCATCACTTACTGCAGCAAATGACTGGCAACAATCAAAGAGGAAGCACAAAATGTGATACTAACAAAACCACAGTTAAGTTTAAATTTTTATATCTATCCTATTGCTTTCAGAGAAACCTAAAAATGGTTTTCACATGGCCGACAATCAACATTATTAAATCATACTAAACTTTAAAGCACGGTAAGTTTTTGGTGGAAGTAGGGCTTTCCAGAGTGTTGCCACTGTTCTGTGTAATGATCTGGATCCAGTTACATGGGTGTGCTCGGTTTATGACTATTCATTGAGCTGTCACGATATTTTTCCTTTTATGGATGCATGCTACATTTAATAGAATCTTTTAAAACTTTATTGCTAAGTTTCATGGTGTTCCTTCCTCCCTCCCTTCCTTCCTTCCTCTCAAACGGATTCCTTATATACCATACAATAAGCAAACCATTATGTGACTTGTCAACATACCGGTTTATTACATCAGCGTAGTTTTACATATGTACTATATAGTCAGCCACAGAAAAATGTATCATAGCTAGCAGAGCCCAAAGTGTTCATTCCCAGAACTGCCCTATTCTGTGAAAAATTACAGCTGATTTTTGACGTTTTCTTTCATGAACATAAAAGTAAACATAACTTGCAACACTAGAGACACCGCATAACTGCTGGGAAGACTCTGTCCCTAGCAACATGCTGCTCTGAGTCCCTGTCCCCAGAGCAGGAAGTGTGGCAGAGAGAGGGACGGTCACACCTACTTGATGATGGCCTCATGGGAGCGGTAGTTCTCGCAAAGGAGAATCCTACATGGGAACTCGGCGGGGTAATGCTCATAGAGTCGATCAAGTAGTGAAACATGAAGGTTTCTCTCCCTGGCAAACTCACTGTAAACAAAAGGACTGAGCTGTAACAGACAAACATACAGAGAAAACTTAATTAAATATATGTATTTTTTAAGCCACTCATTAAAAAATCCACCATGCTAAGGTTTCTGATACCCTAAACCCCAGCGTGCTGGATGCTAGAACAAGCAGCGCCAAAAATGTTTCCTATGAACAGTTTTACTGCTATGAAGTATGAGGCTAGAATTTCTAACTTCGTTCATTACACCAACCCTGACCTCGAGCTCCTGTGCAAAGGCTGGTAAGGGCTCCCTCAACCTAATAAATAGCTACTATTCAGGAATTTCAGGAATGCAACCCACTGCATCACTGGGGGAGTCAGTCAACCAGTTATTTCACTAAAATTGATCAAATCTTTAAAATGGTGAGCTGGTAGGATATTCTGACCAGGAATAAAAAAATTTTTAATAATTAGCAAAATAACCTTTTTCTCATGACAAAGTATAAGGAGCCATTCTTGATTATACCTTTGACAGCTAAAGAACAAAATTAAACTACTTCTGGCAAAGAAACAAAACTAGAATTTGTTCCTCTACACATTCAACTCTTTCCTGGATGTCTTGACAACTACGATACTATATAAGTTCAATCTTAACTATGGCAGAAGAGATCTGTAAAACAGATTTTAATAGGAATATAGTTTTTCTATAAGTTCCTTTCAATATGACAATACAGAAGGCTTACCTGCATGTGGTCACCAGCCAAGACAATCCGAGTGCTTTTAGTTGCTAATGCTAGAGGCATAATGGTTTCACACTCCATGGCCTGGGCAGCTTCATCTAACAGAATGTGCGTAAAAAACCCTACAAAGCACAGTGCAAACACAGTAAAGCATATTAAAGCAGCAACGAAGGTTGGAGCAGTTTTGCTGTTTTTCATCTCTGCTAAGGAAACAGTTTAGTGTGCTAATTTAAAAGCTGTGAGTACTTTTAATGCCGCGCCTCAATTGAAAAAATCATCAATTTAAATTATTATTTAAAAGCTAGAGGTTAAAAGGAGTAACTATTTTACTCAATAATAGATACATAAATGGCATCTGGTGCTACAGGCCCCACGACTAACAGCTGAATCGCTATATTTAAAAGTATTTTAAAAGTACCAGATAGTGGCTCTTCACCAAAAAGAAGGGTTGGCAACTAAACGCTGATAGCCCCAAAGTCCTCTCTCTATGCATTCACTTAAACACCAAAAAATAAAACAATGGTAGTTTATAAATAATTTTAACTCAAATATGCATATTAGGCATTAAAATAAAGAAAATCATACCTAAAACCTAATATAAAGGAGAAAGTTATAATTCAACTTTGAAATCAAAGGTTATCTATTAGCATATTCACTAATTTGATCATTTAGGTTTATTTTACGTGTCTATACATGTTTGTACGTGTGTGGGTGTGGGTGCGTGTATATATATATATGGAGAGGCAAACGTAGGTTTACAGTTGTGAGTACGCAAAAGCTTATTCTTGTATTATTAATTACTGTATTATTTTCAATACAAACAACTATAAACCCACTTTTGCCTCACCCTGTATATACATATAAAATAAATAATTTTTTTTAGTCTAAGACCCAACCCTGAAGACATCACCAGTCTGGGGGAAAAAAAAAAAAGACTAATAACAAATGTCAAAAAGTATATTATCAGAAGTCCCCCAGATGCAAACAGCTATAGTAGGAGGCATCCTATGTCTTGGTTGCTGCTGACACTCATACTGTGTACGGAAAGGAGGGAAAGTCCCTTTGCCCGTAAAAGGGGGGAAAAAGGCAAAAATCTCCTTGCTGTCTTAATGTGGAGAAAGAAAAAGTTGTCCCCTACTGCCAACTCAACAAGATAGGAAGGGCGCCCTCTTTTTACTAACATAGCAAAGAATACAAAGTAGTTTCTCAACAGAGTGATGAGTTATACAATCTCTGAATTCATCAGCCTACTGTAAGTGGCCCAAGAGCCTCCCCTCTGTTTCCATCCCTATTTCTATAACTATCAACAAATTCCAAACGATCTGTTCAGACAACTTTCTAATGCACTTTGTTTTTAGGTGGGGACTTTCTAAGTCATACTGAATGCATTAATAACCCTCACAACATCCACTTAAACAAAAAGCTGTAGCTGACAGCACAAATATTAGTAACTGTTGTCTCTACCCAGAGGCCCGAGCAAGACATGGACACATGCATTTTTCTCCCTGTTGAAAGAATTTGTTCTTTTTGTTCCACAAGACTGATTAAGGAAGGTGATTATATAAACACAGAATTAAATTAGGGGAAAACCTGAGACTAGCGAAGAAAATCTACTGTTTTCATTAGATAATATTTTCATTAAATAGAGCCAGGCTGGAATCAGGAACTGGACAGATCATGAAATTGTTTTACCTTCGCTCAAGCTAGCTAGTAAAGGTAACCTCAACGCATCAAACTGATTTAGCGGGGGCCTTGGTTTTCTCATCTGTAAAATAACCCGCCACAGGGTTAACCTGAGAATTAAATGAAATATAGTATAAATACCCAGGACAAAGCATAGCTGATTTCTAATAAGTACTCTTCTACACTCTTCAAAGCCATTCTTTACTCCTCACAAAACTATACTCTTTAGGAGGTTTGGGTATTTAATCTATATGGCAAATATGCAGAGTATAATCATAAAGTAATGAGACTGATTGTTAAATAAACATACCAAAATTTACATTTCAAATAAGTGTTGTTCCATTCAAAGAAGTCAGTTGGGAGGAAACATAACTCATTCCAATGATGCAGTCACTGTTCAAAACATTTTTGAAACTCTGCTTTTGTAACTGCCCTCACCAGCCAGCTATGAGCTGCATGCACAAGAAAATAAGTCTCATTACTGAGAGGCACGTCTCTTTTCTTTTTTAAAACTGCTAATGGTATTGCTGTTTGATCACCTACCTACCTTATTCACCGGTTTCAGAAAGACTTACATGTCTCAGAAATATGTTGAAGCTTTTCTAAAATTAAATCTACCCTCAGAAAAGAAAATGTGGCCACCACTCATTCATTTAAGATAAAGAGAGGTTTATCAAGGGCTTCCAGGTGTCTATACCCCGGGCCAGGTGCCAGGAATACCAGGCGGACAGAACAGTCTCTACCTTCCAGGATGTTCAAAAGAATTTGTCACTGGCTCTGAAAGCAATTCCAAAAGGAGAAAGCAAAAAAGTGTTGAGCCACGCCAACCATTATAATATGGCAACGATAAATGAATATTCTTCCAAAGCAATTAAAGTGATACCATTGTTTGATGGTTAAGTTCTGCCATATTTATCAGAATTTCTTGTCACCTTATATCTGTACTTTGTATAACATTAGTTTAATTTTACATAGTTCCTGTCTTACAACAATCTCAATAGTATGTTAAAAAAATATCTATCATGACTGTTGTCTCTACTCTAAACAACACAAAAGTATTTTAAAACAAAATGTGAGAAAACTGTAAAAAACACCAACACCGTCCAAATTTTAGTTTTTCACATTTATTCACAACAGTAAATAAATACCATCTGATCAATTAGAGAATAAATAGAACAGCAGTCACTAAAATGTCTGAAATGTCTAAACCAGGGGTTGACAATTTTTGTTTTTGTAAAGGGTCGAACAATATATATTTTAGGTTTTCTTGGCTAGACAATCTCTTTTGCAACTATTCAACTAAGCTGCTGTGGCACAAGAGCATCCATAGGTAATAAATAGGTAAGCAAATGGGCATGGCTGTGTTCCATCCTATAAAATGTTATTTACAAAAACAGGCCACAGGCAATAGTTTGCCAACCCCTGGTCTAGACTGAATGAAGAAGCCCTAGCCATTCAGAGACACCCTGTCTGTGTCTTGAGTCAGCATACCAGGTTCAAGGTCCAACTGACAGAGGTACTGGGAAGTATTCAATGTAACAACAACCACTCGGTGCTTAAGAATATCTTCTTTCTGTGGCATCTGAAAGGTGGAATGTGCGCTTGAGATCAAACAGTACTGATGCACAACTGGGTGAACAGTCTTTACCCAGCGATTTCTGAAATATACCCTATAAAAGAAGATAATATTTCCTATTTGTATTTATTAAGATCTTACCAGCACCTGATTATCAAAACATTGACATTATTATTTAAGACTACAATATCTGGAAATTAGCAAATAAGTCTGATACCTGTTAACACTCTACTGGATTAGAATTTAACATACAACTGTGACTTCCTCCTACCAAAAAAGATTCAAACAGAAAGTATATGTACTACCATAAAATAAACAATAATTTTTGTGTTCAGATTGACCTTACAAATAGAATGACACACAAACAGTTTCATAAGCATTATAGTTTAAATTCAAAGCATTGCCATTTGGAAATTACTTTTTCGTTAGAAAAATTCTTAGAAAAATATACTTTTTCTATTTTAATAATCTATGCTAACTTACAACAGAATGGCACACTTACAACAGAAATGAAAAAGTTATCTGCATTTCACTTTAGAATATATTATTATACCTATATTTAAATCGACATCTATCTAATATTCTAGAAATTTACAAATCAATATAAATTTTGGGCAATCATAACATCTTAAAAAATGGGGTATCTTCCATTAATTGAAAAAGAAAAATATTAGTCAGCCTCATGCAATAGATTACTAAGATGGTACAGAAACAACTTTTCCACCTACCCACCCCCCGACCCTCCCTGAAGCACTCTCCTCCCTCCCTCAGCTTCCATGACTTTCTTTCTTCCTCTGTAGGTTAGGGATCTGCAAGTCTTAGTCTCGGCTCCCTCCTCTTCTCAGGCTCTGTTCTGGCCCGACAATCTCATCCAGGCCCCTGGCTTCAATACCCTAATGACTCACACAGTTTTCTCTCCAACTAAGACCTCACCTCTGAGCTCCAGGATGCATATCCAACTCTTAATTTATTATTTGTCTCCTCTAAGATATTTCACAGGGAGCTCAAATGTAAAATGCACAAAAACTAATCTCATGATCTCCTAAAATGGACTATAACCCTCCATGAAATGCTTAAAACTGGCTGTCTTCTTATAGGCAAAGCAAAACAAAGTTTTTAATAAGTGTCCCTAAATAACCAATACCACTTCTTAAAGATGTTAAAAAATTAAATATTTTAGGTGTTAATTAAAAAAGTGTTAGATCAGCAAAGCAGAATTTACTTTTAAATATATGAAAATTTTCATTTTACCAACTACCTGAAAAAAATCACTTATAAATTATGATTCCATTAATATTAAAGTCTATGTATGTAAACAGAAATTACTAGAAATTAAACGCTAAAATGTTAACATTTATTTCCAGCTGATGAGGCTATAATTTTCGTTTTCTTCTTTGCCCTTTTCTATATTTCCCATACCTTCTTCAACATTTCATGTAAAGTTGAAAAACTGATTTTTCCAATTATTCATTAAATCTAACTCCAACCACTGTTCTTCTTCCAAGAAAAACTAGAAACTGAAGTGCTAAGTCTCACTGCTAACGTTTTGGTAACCACCTTGGGGAGCTACCCAGGTTGAAGCTATATTGTCTTGAAAGTACAATACTCTAGTGCTGTCTTCAAACAGATTTAACTACTTTCTTGGTACTTTCATTTTGTGCAACATTAAGGTAGACACTGTCTATAAGATTACTGAAAACACATCCAAGAACATTTTTCAAAATTGGAGAACTGATAGTACCAAGTGACACTTTCAGGCTCATAGTATAAGTGACACGAACTAATTTACTTACTTCTAGAAACAACCCATCCACATATCCCACATGAAGTATAATGATACTTAATACAGGACACTGTCTGGTAATAAAAAAATTATAATTCACCGAAATTTTATTCATGTATTGAATTCATATGTAATAATCCCCCCCCCCAAAAAATGTTGTTCCTTAAGATACTACAGAATCAGACAGACCTGATCCCAGAAGGAAATCTGTTTCTTTAAAGATCTATATAAAACAACAAATATCTTCTATTTGCCTTAGGGCAGTAAATGCATACTTTCTCCATAATCTCTATCCACTAAGTGATAACTTTGCCAGAACCAGATACTGAACCATACATAGAACAAGACTGTGCTTTCCTCTCTGTTACACTTTAAAATCTTCTAATTCTAAGGAAGAAGTAAAAACTGAATCTAAAATGGTTTCTACAGCCTCCATCCCCAAACATTTTAACCCTGACTCCTGGCATCTAACAGAACTTTATGCATTTTAACCACAAGGATGTATATTTAAATATTTACTATATTAACTATTTAATGTTTATGACTATTTTCACACTTTATCACGTTTACCAAGGCCTGCTCTAAACTATACTGTGAAAAAGGCAAACTCATCAGTTCTACTCCATTCAAGGTCATATGCAGATGCTTACTGCCTTCTTGTGTTCTTTCCCCTTCATCTTGGGACAATTCAGTTCAGATAAAGCTGATCTCCCCAGAATAATTTTCTCTATTCCATCTCCCATACCTTTGTAGTTTATTGTCCATTAGGAAAATTATAAATAAAACCGAGTTAACATAATAAATGGTGCTAACAAATCCTAACATTTCAATGCATTAATCCTCATAGGAAATACATTCACAAGTTAACACCTTTCCCAAAGAGAAAAACCACTGTGAAAATGTAGGGCCACATAAAAAATACTTGGGGAAGTCAAGCCTTTTCTTATTTTATTCCATTTACTAAACGAAATATCATTTGTACTTAATTATACTTAAATATTTTTCCATCTTGACTGAACTACCCTTGAGATTTGTGGAGAGGTGAGATTTTTCTGCTAGTCGGCAAGTTTCTAAATTTGTACCATTACAGCTATACACATACCCTGCTGGAACGTAACTTATGCTACATATTTAGATGCACTATATGTTGAATTATAACCACCAAAACATAATTTTACTTGGGAAAGCTAAGCATAATGCTAGTCAAATGATGGATTTTAATGTTTATCAACAACAGTTCCACTGCCTAGGCTGACCAAGATTTGAAAAGCTTTGTTTCCAAGCCAAGTACACCATGATAATTGAGATTGCCATGGTTCCCACATAACACACACATACACAAACATAAACACACATGTGCACACTCTACCAACAACAAAGCAAACAAGTATCTCCATTAAAGTAAATGCATTCATAGCAAAAATGCTACTAGTTGTCCAATTTTCACTTAAGAGCTAAAAAAGATTAGAATCTGAAGCAAACTAGCTATTGATAAATTTATCCATTAGCAAATACCACATTTTCATTTACAGTGATTGTATACATGTGATGTTTTCTTATTAAACACAACTGAATTACACTGAAAGTAATTATTTCTGCTCTAATTTTCCAGAGTGAAAACAAAGTATGGCATAAAAACCTGTGTTTACAGGCCATGCCATTTTTTTTCTCATTTGTTCTTTTTAATGCAACTGCAAAATCATTCAAATGGCTTTGATTATGGGTATCAAAGAATTAAATAGCAAAATCTCATTTTTCCATGCCTAGATTCAACAAAAAGTTAGTGAATTATGATTCAAAAGTGTGGTTAGAAATTAATTTGTAAGCAATAATTGTATTCAAACAACATAGGGCATGATATATTAGTTTATAAAATGGCAAAATTAACATTAATTCATATAACAATGAAAGCAAATGGTATAATAAACAACCATTTAATGATTCTTTATTGTTTTCTGAAGAAAAGGATTTTATTCCCCCACAATCCTATATTTAAGTACATTTCATATCCACATACACTGAAAGAATCTTTCTATATCAGCCTAAAATTTTCTTGGAGACTTACTTTGTCTCTTAAATGATAAAAGCTGTAAATACCAGTCAATTACAATTTGCCGCAGAAATCACTTCAATACTTCATGCTTCTCTAATGTGTAGCTTTTATGAAATTACCTGCATGATCACAGTCAAATCTTATTTCCATAAAGAACTATCACTGAATGACTACTCTGCCATGCAAAATATGCTAGAATTTTAAATTAAATTTAATGTAAATCATACTTGTTACTTCATCATAGTAGCTTTTAGAGGTACACATCACAGTCAGCTCAGACTATAACAACATTTTTACACACAAAACTTAAAAAAGGATGTCTTTTTCTTTACTTAATGTTTAAGATGTGAACGGTCAAAGGTTTTTCAATTTTTCCTTAATTTAAAAAGTTTCTTAAAAAGGCATACCCTCCAAATGCCAATGCAGAGTTGAAGATTTTGGTATTCTGAAAGTTACTAAAATCTTTACAGACACCTTTTCTTAAGAATAATAAAGTATGATATAGATACATAATAAGCCTTAAAAAATACCTGAGAGGTCTTGCCTGGGGATTGCCTGCTTCTACATATGGATGTAAATAATCCTTTATGTAGAGATCAGCAGCACTATTAGAATGGGTGCAAATGAGAATCCTGCTGAAATAAATGGTGCAAATAAAAAGAATGATAAAACAGAAAACTATTCAAGCAGTATAATACAAAAAAAAAGCAGTGGCCATCATAACATTATACATTTCCCTCAACCTACTCAGTACCCTCTATCATATTATTGAATAACGCTTTTAGTAAATCATATTACTCTTTATGCTATAAAGGAAATAAGGTCCCTAAAATTATTACTAAATCTAGCATATAAAATTACTTTTTAAAAAATCCAGCTCTTTGGCTATAACATACAATCACAATCCCTTAACTGACTTGGGGTTTTGCTGGCTATTTAAAAGCTATCATTCTCCATGTTGTCAATTTTTTTAAAAAGTATGTTTTAAGAGAATTCAAATTTTAGTGCTTTGGGGTTTGAGTGTATGTCTTTTTCTCTCTTTTTTACTTTTTATAACTTTACAAGCTGGGTGAAAACTGTTTTGCTAGCCCTCACTGTATTCACAAGGACAAAGGCCATGTCCTAGGAATGAGGTCAGAGCACACGCCCCACCACCTCACCTCGTCTCCTGCTGCTGGAGTATGTGCTTTACCGCCTGAGCTAGTGTGAAGGTTTTGCCTGTCCCGTAGGGTCCGATGATGAGAACAGGAGGCAGCTCTATTGAAAGTGGGGTTGTAATGGCCAGAACAGCCTCTTTCTGTTTTGCATTTAGTCGAGGATCCAACTGTTCATCCCATTGTCTATAGAAAAGAAAAATGTAAGCTCTTTTAAACAAATGCATTTTATTTATAAACAGAACGCAATATACAAGTCTTCTGAATGTCATGAACCATTAAAAATACTGAAATAACACAGCATCTATAAAAATAAATGCTTATTCTAAAATTACTTTTTAGAAAATTACCCAACAGTAGGTGTAAGGTATTTTACTATGCTGACCAAAACTCACTTTAGTTACCTTTTCCTATTCCAAGTGCAAAAAGGTAAGTAACCTAAAGACATCACACGCTATTAGTCTAGTTCCTGCCAAGTCTGTATATAGTGATGACAATGTCTTTAAAATGGAGTTTCCCTCTGCTACATAAAAGCATCAAATAACTTTTTTCTGGTACTAATGAAGTAGCCGTTTTTTGCATAGCAAATAAAATGCAAAAGGGAAACTGATTTCCAAATTCTAATCCACTAAAAGATCTTAGTAAAGTTTAAAATAAGGGGAAAGGAAAAAACCTGGATGTCCCTGGTTAAGAGATATCAAACTTTTATGAAGTTCTTAATTCAGAAAATAGCAGGTTTCTTTAAAAGGCCAAACAACATGAAATGTTCTCTAATATTTTCAGATGCACATATATTATACATGTCATATTTTTCAGGGTAGGGAACACCTGTCATGGCAGCACAAATGGCTGCTGTAATGAGATCCAGCTTCCTAGTGTCCTTTCTATGACTTGGCTAAGTTTCGAAGATTTAAATGGACAGCAGATGCTGAAAGGGATCAAACCAAGTGGAGAACCAACAGCATTCTTTCTCACAACTAAAATTAAAATACTAAATATCGCAACAACTATGGTAAAAATGATAGGGATGTGAACCAAAATAAGAAGGGTGTGTAGAGACTTAGAAAATTTACAAAGTGTCTACAAAATAACCCTTAGACAGGAGGACATGGTGTAGTGAAAATTCCCTGTCTGTGAGGCTCTACCCTACTTAAATCAGAAGCTAGTTATTTATGGAAAATCTTAACACTTTCCGTTTTAAAAAGTTTATGATAGATAATTCCAAACAAACAAAATTCTCCTTAAAAAAATGTAAAACTTTAGAAAACAAACACTGGCCACATAAACATGACATTACTTTTTTTTCTGAAATTTAAACTTTCAAGTGAAAAACAAAAGGACTCTGACCAGTGGCACTAGATTTCCTTGAAGCCAGTCACTAAAGCTCAAGCATTTTACTCCACAGAGTTAAACATTAACCAGCTTATTTCCTCATAATTCTGCAAGTCCCCAGCAATGTTTCATCTTCTACGAAAGAGGAAGTTGCTTTAGATGACTGCTAAGTATAGACCTAATACACGTGGCAGACACTGTGGAATGGTTCTCCCCAAACCATCCACGGCACCCTTTCTGCCCTTCCTCTACTGAGCCTAGACAGCTATAACACTCCCATTTCCCAGCCTCCTCTGCGGGAGACCCAGGTCTGGTCAGTGAGATGTAGGAGGAAATTCCTCAAACGGGCTTCTATACCCAATAAAGCAAAAGCACAGCCTCACTAGAAGAAAGCCCTTTCTGCTACTTTGCCTTCCTCCTTCACCTGGCTGAAATGAGCTCGTGGTAAATAAAACTGCAGCAACCATCTCATATTCATGAGGCAAGAGGCATCAAGAAGAAAACTAACATGCTGTGTATGGCAGAGAGGAGGGGGAAACCATGGCCCTTGATGCCACTGCTGAGCCCCTGCACCAGCTCTGGACCACCTACCTCTGGGCCTCTATCTCTACATGTTGACAACACAGTTCAGTCAGTAAACTGTTACTTGCATCAATGCCCGATTACTATTATTCTATGATACCTGATCCCATGGTTCCTTTGCCTGTACATCAAGATAACAATACTTGTATCACGTGGTTATTGTAAAGCTACAAGCTGTTTAGAAAAATAATTGAGCAATAAGTGCTCAATTAATGTTTGCTTCCATTATTATATTTTCCGAGAATTTCAAAAAAATGAGATATAACTTGACCAGTACACTTTCAAAGAACATGAAAATGTTTTAAAAACAATCTCTAATCTTTCAAATTTGGGGACTTTTAATGAACTTATTAATAAAGAGATATTACATTATATACATAAATCTAAAAGATTAAAGACAGATTTATGGGTATAATTCTAAAATATGTCAATACTTCTTTATTTACATAGCCCATTCTACTTTACCAATTGTTTCAGTGTAAATAAATGCTTCAGAGCAAATCAGAAATTTTAACAATGTTGGTCAACTCTATAGTTTCCAGTCATGAATGATGAACATTTATAGAAAGCCAATGAGTAACACAAATTGTCTTTATGTATTGTACCACCCACTAAATTCATTCAAAGTTCTTTTTTATCCTGGGCTAATGTATTGTTGTAATTAATTTATATACAACATGCCCAAGAATAATTTCTCAACTTCAACTATCTATCTATATTCTACCTTACTCCAGAAAAGATTTTAAATGGCTAATGATTTCTCAATATGTTCCCAGTTACATTTAAATTACTACTTACAATTACAGTGCTATGGAATATCTTCCTGCTTAAAAGTTTTCTGCTATTGGACATTTTCTTAGTTAACTTTTACAGTTAATACTTGCAGTCAGGGGTATTTGAATATATTATTATACACTATATAATTTTCAGAAGTAAGCATATCAAATAAATGCCTAATAATACTGGCATGGCCTCACACTTGAAACCCTAATTTCTTCTTTAAACTTGAAGTTCTTATTAATTTAAATGTGTCATATATTAACAATCCGCAAGGCCTGTTGGAGATGTGAAGATAAATAAGATATGATCTCTTCCTTTAAAAAACTCAGAAGGTACTAGACTTATCAGGGGGAATCACTTCCTAAGTTATATAAATGCCTAACAAATGTACACCTGAAACTAATATTGAATTTCAACTGTACCTGAAAAACTTTTTAATAAATTTTTTAAAAGTTCAGAATCTAATAAGAACAGCAGAAATATACACAACAAAAATTAATTTGAGAGAAATTATGCTTGAAAACACAAAACTGACTAAACCTACCAAATAATAGACACACTAAATATTTGTTCAAATAATGAAATGAAAGGCTGATTTATTACTTGGAGAGAGCACTTGAGCTAACTAAATCTTGAAACACAGATAAAAATCCTCAACAGATCAACATTGAGCACAGATTATTTCAGGGAGAGAAGATCACTTACAGATGAGAAGGGCTGCAGAGAGGAAAATGTGGAGTTTAACGGGTATAAAGTTTCAGTTCTGCAAGGTGAAAAAGCTCTGCAGATTGACTGAGCAACAATATAAGTATACTTATCACTACTGAACTGTACACCTAAAAATGATTTAGATGGGCCCTGGCCAGTGTGGCTCAGTTGGTTGTGCCATTCTGTGCACCAAGACGTCACTGGTTTGATTCCCCATCAGGGCACATGCCCGGGTTGGGGGCTCAATCCCCGGTAAGGGACATGAGGAAGACAGCTGATGGATGTTTCTCCCTCTCGAGAAATCAATAAAAATGTATTTTTTTAAAAAAGATTAAGATGCTAAGTCTTATGTAGATTTTACCAGAACTTTAAAAAAATTTAAGAATTATTTTAAAAGATAAGGAGGCAAGCAAGTGTAGGGCAAATTATACAAACTTCAAGGTAATTCGATATGACTAGAGCATGGGGATTAGACGGAAAAAGAGAGTGTCAAGTAGAAAAAAGTAAAAGAAACTGAGAAGATACTGTTGCAAAGTGCTATCAATAAGACCACATAATAGAGTTTGGAATCAGGCTGCTCAGACTTCATTTACGTATCAAGAGGAAGGCTTCAAAGATGTATAAGCAGTGAAATAAAATGATTATTTTGGCAAACTCACTCTGAAAGAAATCTGAGGGTGAGCCTAGAGAACAGACAGACAGCAGGACGGAAGACCAAGGAGAAGGGACTGGACCAGCCGCGCTCTACACCAAGCAGGGGCTGCGAGGACGGGAAGGCTGGCAAGGGCGCAGGGAAGCTGAGCCAGACAAGGGCCGAGCTGCTCGGGTTCCTACAGCTCGCGGGCCAGCGATTCCTCCAGGACAGTGGAGGTGGAGCACGGTGGCTACAGGACGGGTGAATAAGTATACTAGAAACATGCAGACTATTCCTGACCAGGAAATTTGGCAGTAAAAAGAAAAATGGGGATAGAATCGCTAGGGTAAGTGTTCTGTTTTTAGGACCAGGAGAAATGATACATGAGAAGAGATAGATGCCACCTCGAGGCCTGGCCCATAAGCATTTCCTTTGTGAGGCTCTGTGCTCCTTCTCACCCCACCTGCCAGCTGCACGCTGACCTTGGAACCATTTACTAAAGATACCAGAGCTTCCTTCAGAGATGGAAGAGAGCTACCCTACCATGATTGAATTGACACAAATGATCAAGAAATAAACTTCTATTGTACAGAGCAACTGAGACTTAAAAAAAGAACCACGATGGGAGTGAGCTGCGCAGGGGCGGGGCCAAGAAGATAAAACCCAGTGAAAAAGATGAAAAGGAGACGTAGTCATGCAGCGTCGCTGCTGTTATTCTGGAAACGACACAGAAGCATCGTATTTCATTACACTAAGTAAAGAAGTGCCAAGTAGAATTTAAGCAGAAAAATATTTACACAACCATGAACTTGAGAGAGGCTTCTGAAGTGATATCTGCTATGATACTTTCTCCATTCTGCTAAGTTACAAAAACATCTTCTATATTCAAAAATTATTTTAAACACTATATAGAAAGGCCCTACCTTTCCCATTCAACTTCTCCTCAGAAAAACTCCTAAATTGCTTGGCATCCTATAAAATTAAGGCTGTATGAGGAGAGCACTGGAATCCAGTTAGACTCCAAGGAAAAGTGAGTAGGTGATGGACCTCAATGCTGCATTCTTTTATTCTTGTTTCCCAACTAATAAAATGTCCCCTGAAGAACACAGAACAGCTTTCCTACAAAAGTATGCCTAAGTTGTTTGATACAGATATTTGATTTGACATTAGCATGGCTCCCTTTAATGAGACAGTCCTTTTTGTACCTGTTGGGACTCCAAGGTATGGTTGGAGTCATAGTGACATCTGGAAATAGAACCCCACTGTCCTTGATCCTGTCTAGCGCATAATGCATTTCACAGAGGGGTAATCGATTTAACTGAAACTGAAGTTCAACCTGAAACACAAGATAAAACATTTTTAAAACATTAAAGTAAACCTCAACACTTGCAGCTCACTAAAATACTTTGTGAAGATAATCTTTTAGGGGGACCAAGTTTAGAGATTCTATTAAAGTACAATTATATTCTAATAATAATTATCAGAGGTAATATTTGCTTAGTTTATTTAGTCAGGCACTATAATGAACACTTTACATAGATTATCTCATCTAATAGTATCAATAATATATATACTATTAACCTCATTTTATACCTGAAGAAACTGAGGCACTTGTAAATTACTTAATCTCTAGATAAATGTTATCTGATTACACCATTCCTATGAAGAATACATTTGATACAATCAGTAGACCATCTGTGAAATATCATCTCTCAAGTGATAAAACTAGCCCTAAGACACTATCAATTTACTATGAATAAATAATATTCGCCATCTTATGGTTAAAAAGAAAAAAGGTTAGCTCTCCAGTTAAATATGGCAGACTGAACACACAGTTCACCTAAGAATCCATAAAGTCAAAGAGAAAGGAGCAGATACAACTTCAGGTGGGAACTGTCCCAGGATATCACTTAGTTTCTTTGAATCTGTTCCTCCACTTCTGTTTTAAAACTATAATCAGAAACTTAACCTTGTATAAAACCGTAACATTTCAGATGTTACTTAGATGAGAGAGTGGATTTTCTCTGAGTTACCAGAGGTTCAATTCTCCACCCCTCAGTATAACACTTCCAGTTATGGCAGAAGGAGGAAAACCAAACCAGAAGAGTGTCAGCTGAGAAGGAGACCTTTGCCACACTTCAGAACATACCTGTGTGTCACAATCAGGCCGAAGATTAAGTTCTTCACAGCATTCCCTGGATATCCTTAAAAATATATATTCTTTTGTTTTTTCTTCAATAGTAGCTTCATAAACCTTCTCTTTGGTTCCCTGGGTCTGTACTAACTTCTCTTTCGGGACTGGTAATAAATAAACAGCATTGACTTTGGTCATCACCAGCCGTCCAGCCAAAGTATCTTCAGAAAGTGTTTCAGTAAGCTTAAAGCGACCAAAAAGTTGTCCATTCTGAGCATACTTTGCACCTCCAGAAACTCCAGTGAGCATGAAGCTTGCAAGAATCTGCAATTGCACTTTAAGGTTGAACCTAAATCAGAAGTGGAAAATGAGTTTACATATTTTACATCAAAAACTTAACTAGAAGAGTAAAGCAAAATAAATCAAATATAAACATACAAAAATCAAAACTTCATTATCAATTCCATTCCACTGAGCTACAAACTACATAATATCTGTCTGCCTTTAATCCAAGCTGGAAACAAACAAAACTTTAAGTGAATAAACGCTTATTCAGTAACAAGATACATATTAAATTTTGTTGAAGAGTATACACATTTTTAGCAGTATGAGCATTTATTTTTTTATATCTTTATTGATTTCAGAGAGAGGAAAGGAGAGGAAGAGATAGAGATAGAAACATCAATGATAAGAGAGTCACTGATCGGCTGCAGCCTGCAACCCGGGCATGTGCCCTGACCGGGAATCGAACCCCGATCTCCTGGATCCTAGGTCGACGCTCAACCGCTGAGCCACGCCCGGCTGGGCAGCAGTATGAGCATTTAAAATGAGGCTAAGTGTGATTTATTTTAATAAAATGAAATATTATATATTATCAATATGAAAGTGTTTGACCACACCATTGGGGCAAATAAGGCTTTACAACCACCTGGAACCAAAAGGAAAGGCACCACTTTAAAACTCAATGGATTTGCGCAGCCGGGTGTGGCTCAGCGGCTGAGCATCCACCTAGGATCCAGATCGCAGTTCAATTCCCAGTCAGGGCACATGCCCGGGTTGCGGGCTCGATCCCCAGTGGGGGGCGTGCAGGAGGCAGCCGATCAATGACTCTCTCATCACTGATGTTTCTCTCTCTCTCTCTCCCTCTCTCTCTGAAATCAATAAAGATATATTTTAAAAAAAAAACAACCTCAATGGACTTGTATTAAACTGATGCTCTCCAAGTTGATTTTACCAAAATTTCTAACCATAAAATTCTTTTTCAATGAATGACACTTCTCTGCTAATGAATAACATCCAAAATAAATTTCCGGTCATGGCAACATCGAGGCAAGGCTCAACCTTTCTAAAGACCCTTAATATAAACTGCCAAGTAGCCCTCCAGAAATATACCAACTTAGTTTGCCACCAGTGCTCATTTCGTATTGCAGATATTTTTAAGCCCCTCTTAAAGTGGCTTTAGAAGCCTTTCCAAGGTGCTCTCGGAGTGAATTTTCATCCATTTAATTTCTTGGTCAGAATCTCACTTCCACTAGTTTGTAGGGTTCATTCTTTTTTCATTCAGATAAATTTCTATTTAAAAACAATAACCCATAAGTCTATTGATATGTAAAGTAATGTATATGGAATGATTTATAAACTTTAATAAAATACTAAACAAACAGAAGTTAACTTATAGTATTTCCAAATGTCTGGTATGGTACTCCAAAATAGTCTCTTAAGATTCCAGTAAGCTTTTAAGTTCTGTTTCATCCCAATATTTATGACTTATCATAATGTTCCTTTCACAAGGAAAAAGAAACTACAATAATATAAATAAAATACATGCCTATTAATAATGTGAATAACACACATGATACAAGCCACCGTCCCTGGTATTTGATAACTGACCATTTCATTAGAACCATCTATAGAAACAATAGGTAAGTCTTTTAAGAGACCATTAATAGGCCACAATTTAAAGTCTTAGAGTAATGAAAACTATATTCTATCTGACTTTGTAAATCATAACATGTATTTATTTGAATAAAATACTTTCCAAAAGTTAGATCATATTTAATCTATAAATAGAGAACACACAAGAATCTTTAAATTTTCACTTTTCTTTTTCTGAATATATCCTTCAGTGAGTATTAAATATCTATTTATAATATTAATGATAAGAAACCGATAAGGCAGCTTGTGACCAATATAATTTTATTAACCAATGCCACCCCAATAAATTCAATAAAAAAGGAGGAAATAAAAATAAGGCAGCTTAGGAAAGAAAAATATGTTGGTTAGGCTGTATTTAAAGGGGAAACTACTTATAAAAATGTGTTCATGCCTCATAACTGTGGTTCAATTTTTAAGGCTTGTTCCATTTTACTAAACAGCAGAATGCTACAACCAAACATAATAACCATTTGATTAACATCTTCCTTCACTCAAACTTTCATTTCACAGATTACTTTTTCTATGATTCAAATAAGCTTCTGATTTAAACATCTGATCCTAACCTGTGGGATATGGCTAAAATACATTAAAACTATAAAGGTATTTTATTATTATCTAATAGTTTTCCTGAAGATTTAAATCATTTCATGCTTAAAACTCCTTTTCAAAATATGTGCTCTCTTTCAGTTTTTGACCATTTATTAAACAAATATCCGCTGAGTGCTTGCTCTGACCGCGACGAACGGAAACCTCCTGAGGAGCTGGGCCTACGCGTGTGGACTCCAGCACCTGGCAGTCTTGTGGGAATGAACTAAGTACTAAACACCAGGGCCACCAAGATGAGCAAGACACAGTTCTTGCCTTAAGAAGCTCACATACAGCTACTGAATAACAGCCGCTGAGTAACAACCATGTTACTACCTGTCTTCACGTAGACACACCGCCATTTTCAAAATGAAAAGTACCATCGAAAGGGGAGAGCAACCAAAAACAAGAAAAGTGTTTCTAATGTAACTCACTTGCTGACTTCTTTATACTGGGCTATCTCCTCAATATAAAGAAGGTCATGCAGCCGCGACTGATAGTTGGTCTTGGTCAATGACTTGTCTAAAACGGACTGGGTAAACAGCTGGTCAGCAGAGAGAGGAATTTGGTATCTGATAAGAAGGCTCTTCTCCAAATCAGTAGTTTCATTAGGTTCAAAATCTACAATAGTCTTAGAAGAGGAATCCCAACGTTTAGCTGTGGTTACTAGCTGTTGTTTTGCATGCATCAGGTATTCAAGATCTAGATGGAAACAAAAAACACATTTAAAAAAGAACACAACATTAAAATTCTCGAATAATGGACTGTACATTTTAATAATTTTAAATGCTAAAGTTAAAATTCTTAAAAACAGAACAATATAAAAACCCATTTGACAGTCTTTTTCCTACATCAGAAATATTTTTTTGTCCAGCTTAACAAAATAACATAAATAGGAATTCATATAAAAGATATCTTTTTTTACATTGGGCTAGGGCATACAAGATATCGTTATTAACAGCTTAAAAATACAGATTAACATTTAGAATTTAACTTCAGTCAAAAGAAATCTACAGGAAGAAGATACGATAAGTTCCTCCTAAGACAAAAACCTATCAGGTGGCAACCATTTTTCTCCTCCTACTGACAATATCTGCCCCGTTACAGAAAGAGAAGATCAGAAAACTGTGAAAGGTTAAATCTTTTCCTGTGTGGTAAAGCACAGAGAAACTCTAAAAGTCCACTTGCAACAAACAAAAGCCTTTTAGAAAATATTCATGGAAAACACTGCTAATTCTACATTAAAATACAGTATGATGTACCATTCAAATGCCATTTTTTTTAAAAAAATCCACTTCAGCCTCAGTTAAATTATACTGTAAGTAGGACACAATGTCAAAATGAATGACTATTCAAGTCTGACATCTCTGAAAAAATATGCAGAATGGCAGCACAGGGTGAAATATTTCGTAACATAGATTCTGAGCACTGGGTAGCCTCACTGTCTGCAGTGTGTGTTACTTTTCTCTTGGGTGGAACATACATACATACACCTATAAATATGAAACTTAACCAAAAGAAAAAAAGTTGCTTAACTGACTAATCAGGCTGAGATCCAGTTTTTATCTAGCGTAACTAGAAAGATGATTTCACAACTCAAGTTAAAATTTTAGGGAAAAATAATAAAAAATTTAAACAGAGATCAGTTAGCTTCCAAAGTACAAAGACAGGTTATCCTGTGCTATCTTTGAAATCAGAGCATAACGCACAATCACTATGTTTTGCTTAATGAGAGATTTTGCTACATTAAATGCTATATATAAATTATAAACATATGGTCATCCACCAAGAAAAATTGCTCATTAGAAAATAGCTTATCCTAATATCTTAGAAAGATTAAAATGTAAAGGCCCTAATTTAAATGTAAAAGTGTAATAAAATTTTAAAAAAGCAATTGCCCTAATTTCTAACCTTTGCTCCATGAAAAAGCATACTTTATTACATACCAGTTTTATTATTTCTCAAATGGCAACACAAATATAACTATAGTCATCCAGCTCTAAAGATAATCTACATATTGAAAATTTGCATTTTTAAAATACTCTGGATAAGACAATGCTGGACTGTTTTTGCAGTAGCTTCATAAGTACAGTTGACCCTGAACAAGGGTTTGAACTGTGCAAGTCCACTTATACACAGATTTTTTTTCAATAAGTACTATAAATTTGTTTTCTCTTCCTTATGATTTTCCTAGTAACATTTTATTTTCTCTAGCTTACTTTAAGAATACAGTATATACTATATATACAAATTATGTGCTAATCGACTTTTTGTTATAGGTAAGGCTTCTGCTCCACAGTAGGCTATTAGTAGGTAAGTTTTTGGGAAGCCAAACGTTATATGCAGATTTTCAACAGCACGGGTCAGTGCGCTTAACCCCTACATTGTTCAAGGACCAACTGCATAAGTTTCATAAAGTAGACTAACCACACTTTCTCCCTAAATCACTCTAAAATTGGGCCCTGCCTACTATTCATTAAATCATAGCTACAAAAAATACATGTAAATTATACAAATGCCCACATTGCTAAAACCTATTTACCATCACTAAAGATCAGATTCTAATTACTATCAAAATAGCAGGATGTACATAATTTTCTTCCTTAATTCAAAAGTCAAAAAGAGAAACTGCAAGGGGTACAGTGCCAAACCAAATAACCAATTTTTAAAAATATTTTTAAAGGATGTTTTATTTTTAATATATATATATATTTTTAAATATATCTTTATTGATTTCAGAGAGAGGAAAGGAGAGGGAGAGAGAGAGAGAAACACCAATAATGAGAGAGTCATTGATCGGCTGCCTAGCCTGCAACCAGGGCATGTGCCCTGACCAGGAATCGAACCCCGATTGCCTGGATCCTAGGTTGACGCTCAACTGCTGAGCCACACCCAGACGGGCAATATATCTTTATTGATTTCAGAGAGAGGAAGGAAGAGGGGAGAGGGAGAGAGAGAAACATCAATGATGAGAGAGCCATTGATCGGCTGCCTCCTGCATGCCCCCTGCTGGGGATCGAGCCCGCAACCTGGGCATGTGCCCTGACGGGAATTGAACCTCGATCTCCTGGATCCTAGGTCGATGCTCAACCGCTGAGCCATGCCCGGCCTGGCTAAAAATATTTTTAAAAACTAAACTCTATGTAATATTGAATAATCTATTTAATAGGAAATAAACTAACTACCCTTTGGGGTGGGGAATTACAGTTCACAATTTTATTTTAAATAAGAAATTGATTCAGACTATGCCTAGATCATTATTATGTTCATATTATTTAAAAAGTCACTAGTTGTTCCCAATATTTAAGTAACTGGGATAATAACAAACTTAAAACAGTATAGCTTTCCTTTAAAAAAGCTTTTTGTATCACCTATTTAATATGCAAAGCAGATTATACAGAAAGTCATTCTACTCTGGGCTAGAAGTAATTAGGCTTTTTTGAAAAAGTGGCGTGAGAAATAATTTTTTTTCTCATTTTATCTATGTAATGCCACGATTCCCACCCTGTATTTATTAAATTCTTAAAGTCAGTATCTTCAAGCAGAGAGCACAATTTCAAAACAATTCCCAAACAATTAAATTTTATTCCTTTTTTTTTTTTTTTTTAATGACTGTAAATATAATACAGAGAGGAAGGAGGAGCTGGGGGAGCAGAGAGAATCTTGAAAAAAATCTGTGGGTGCCAGCATCAAAGAGTCTACAAACCACTGATCTCAGTCAAAAACTGGCCAGTGACTACTAAGGATATATTTTGCAAAAAACACCTCTCTTTCCCTACTTCATCTGAACTTGGGACAAACTTCTGCCTGCAATCCTCTCACTTGAAAGCAGCAGCTTATTAACCCTGTTTAATTACCCGCCTAACTCACAGTGCTGAGAGGTTATTAAGGTCTTAAGAGTTCCCCTTTAAATAGAGGAGGGAGATGAGGTCCCCACATGGGGACTGGATGGGACTACTATTCGGGCTCATTTCACCCCCACTGGCAGTGCATGGGTATCTGCTAACATCTAACCCAGACATATGCGGTTCATCCTTGGTAAGACTGTCCTGCAACCTAGATTAGGCTAAAATGAAAAACACTCTGGAAAGATGAGAAGTGAACAGCTTAGGGTCCATATGCATAAAACCAAGCAGGGAGAGTTTAACAGTGACTTATTAACCAACTCCTGCAATAATAAATCTTCTAGCAAACCTGACAGAAATTACACACCTACGGAATTTGTTACCCTGAGTGGTGGTAGGTAGACGCTATCAATGTATTTTAAGAGAAATTTCTAAGCAAAAGTTAAAGATAATTAGAACACACTTAGTTTTTTAAAGATAACATAAGTGAAGAGCTGCTACTGTCAAAACAGAATTCGAAGTTGGAATAACTAGTCTGACACAAGATACGCTTCCCAACTTCCCTTGACTCTGATTACTGAGAACCGCAGGGCTCTCATTTCAGCCACATAGTTACTATTCGAATGAAGCATCCAAAGGGTTGATTTGTTTCAGTCCAGAGCCGGCTTGAAAACGTCCTTAACAGGACCTGGAGAGTGGATAAGAAGGAAGGAGGGAGGGAGGGAAAATCCAGTGTTGGACAGCACAAGGGCCACACAAAGCAGCATGCAATAGATGCAGGTTAAATACGGAATCTGTTAAAACCAGCTATATTTATCCAGGGCATAGAGACTACGATGAAGTGTTTCCTAATTCCAAAACCAGGTAGCACACTCTTATCCTCAGAAAACATTTTTGTCTGTGGCTTTACAAGTCTTGACCACCCAAATTAACAATAAAGTAAAATCTAAAAGTAATCCCAAACTACCACTTAAACTATCCATTTCAACACTGTTCTTTTCACCAAAACTGCTACATAGAAGATGAACACTGCTCAGCTTTTTCATGATGACCCTCCCTAATTTTCCATCTCTTTACAAAGCTAATAAAAAGTTAAAACAGGAAAGTAACAGCATAGGAGTATCTCATACTTTTTACATGCTTCCACTCAGTTACATTTATCTTTTATTTACAAGTATACAGTTCTTAAAATCTATTTTATTGCTTTCTTACAACATAATATTAAGTGTTATGTATTTAATATATATAACATGTTCTTAATTTACCTACTACTTTGGCAGTTGGAGATCATTTTAAGCTCATACTAAATTTTAATGTTAGTGTTAACATGCACTACTAGACACAAGGTAGAGAAATGTGTGATACCAAATTTCCAAATTTAAATATAAGAATTAATCTTCAACATGTAGCTTTCAGATATTCAAAGCAGAATTCCAAATCAATTTTGTCCAGAAAAAATTTTCTGATACTCAAAGTTGCGGTATAAAGCGTAAATGCAGTTTGTTTTCTAAGCAAGGGAAAAACTCACTAACTTCCTTCTTTTGTAGATGTCTTTTACCACACATTTTTGAGAAGCACGTCTTTAATCCAAAAAAAGTTTTTAGAACATACTGTATCCTTTTCTGAACCTGGATGGCACCAAAAAGGGGAAAACACTGAAAAAAACAAATTTAAAGTTATGTTTTACAGTTTGCAGGACTGCCAAACAATGACTAAAGGGGGGCAAAATTCATTCATGACCTGCAAACAAAAAGGGTTTGGATGCTTCATGTAAAAACCTGTAAAAAACCTGTGGAGATTTTTCCATTCAAATTTGAATCAACTAAGGTAAGTAGGCTTTTTAGTTCAATAATGAACAATAAATGAGAAATGCTTGCCATGTAACTTGATTCTTAAGTTTCAAGGAGTAATGAATGCACTAATGTAACTAAACTAAGTTCCATGATCAAATCAGTCTGACAAACACTGAGCCTTTAATTACCAAGGTGCAGTGTGAATCTCTGAGGGAAAATAAAGCATGCACTGCTTCCAAATGTATCTGGACAAGGAACCCTTTACCTGTTATTAATGTGTATAGCCCCTATTAATTTCTGTGGAACAGTTTTGGAAACGTGGAGCTAAAAGATGATCCACCATGGCCCAAATTTATAAACTTATGAGAGAGAAATATGTTTCCAGCATTAATTAAGAACAAAAACTTAAACAATAGCCAGCCAAGTGGAAAAAGTAACAGAAATATTTCCTACTCAAATTCTAGTTTCACATCATCACTGCATTTCTGTGTGTGTAGAAACCAAATTATATTGTGATAACTTACAATGTTATCAAAATTGTATGGAAACATAATAAAGCCCAGACCTAACCCAGTTCCCCAATTCCCAGCTGCATTTGGCCAATTTATACATGAAATAAATTGTATAATATAATAAATTGTATAATATACTTTTCTCCTAATTCTAGGCCAAGGAAGATCAAATAATGAACTGGCTGAGGCTCGAGGTGAAATTAGCCAGATTGTCAGTTACACTGTCATCAACTTAACAAAGAAGGTCTCTTGCTCTCAATGTATCTGAATGTTATCCACACAAATATTTCAGGAAAAGATAAAAATGGGAGACTCCCGTTTTACATTTTGATTATTTCAGGATGTTTTATAAAGTTGTGATTCCACATAAACAATCTTTTGCCCTCAATTTTTTTGCTGACAAGCGCTCTGCTATAATAGCTTTAAAAAAAAAACAAACAAACAAAAAAAACCACTAACTAGTAATAAGATAGACGCAGGAAACAAATATTACTGTTTATAGTCTACTTTCATTTCTCCAAAATTCTGTTGGGACTCTGTACACAGTCACACTGAAACCAATATAGTCCCACAATAAAAAATTTAAGAACTTATCAAAAACATGAAGATATTCAATGACATGAATTTTAACGGTATAAAAAAATATCTGACAAAGAACTAAAAATTAGCATAACAGGTCAGCTAATGTAAGTAATGACAAAATAATCAACCAAATGTCATCTAGCTTGCCTAAACCTAGATTTTAGTTTTCCTTTTTATAATGTTAAAATCTCTTATCATAAAATGTATTTTGCACATTTTATAGTGTTCTCTTGTAATACTTATTTTTCCTGTCCTTGAAAAACAAATTTCACTATGTGAAACTGTTCTAACAACATACCCAAATTAGTTGAAGAAAATGCTTCACACTTTTTTCAATTATTTCCCATAACATAACTATGTAGAAGTAAAACCTTGTTTAAAAGAAATTAGGCAAAGATGTCAAACTGCAAAGAGGTCACCTGATAAAAGATGTATTATTATTAAAAAGGAGGGTATAGTATTGGTTCCAAATGGGAGGATATCCTTGTCTGTATTAATTCCCTCTACCATATCTGAACGAAATATATAAAATTTTGTTTTCAAACTGATATACATTAGAAACATCAGAAATAAGACTTTATTTCTTCCAGCTACCACCCTCAAAATATCGGTCATTTTGGACAACTTCTCTTCCAACCCCTATATTGTTTTCTCTTGCCAAGATCAGAAGGTGCTGTGGCCTTAATGACTTTGTTCTTCATCTCTGCTTTTTTAGTCCCTCTGCTAGTACGTCTCAGTCCTCATTTTAAAAAAAAATCGCCAGGCCGGGCATGGCTCAGCGGTTGAGCATCGACCTAGGATCCAGGAGATCGAGGTTCAATTCCCGTCAGGGCACATGCCCAGGTGGCGGACTCGATCCCTAGCAGGGGGCATGGAGGAGGCAGCCCATCTGACTCTCTCATCACTGACGTTTCAACTCTCTCTCTCCCCCTCCCTTCCTCTCTCTGAAATCAATAAAGATATATTTTTTTAAAAATCATCCTCTTCTCTTACTACTTTCTTCATTCAGTTTATAACAAGGAATTATCCTAATCATAGCTAATAATAAAAATAATAGCTACAGTTTACTAAACGCTTACTATGTGCCAGATATTATGCAAGGCTCATTTCTAATTCTCACGATAATCCTCTAAGACAGGAATTTCTAGCCCCATTTACAGATGCTCCACATGAAGCTCAGAGGTGGTAAGTACTCTGCCAAGGGTCACACAGGTAATAAGTAGAAAAGTGGGATTTGAATCCAGTTCTATTGGACTCTGAACTCTGTCTGCTGTTCTTTTCCTTCCTTTCTTTTTTTTTTTTGTCCACTGCTCTTTTTCTCCAACTAGAAAAGTAGAACACATTTGAGAAAAAGTAGCCAACGTCCCCTCAACCTCTCAAGTCCATGAGGGTGCCTGAAATCCTCTTCAGACATTTCACACTTTATAGTATTAAATAGGCTTTTGCTAAGTAGTACAGTTTCTTGACAATACAAACTATTTCTATGAGAAATGAGTCATGAATTACAATCCACCAATCTAAAATACAACCCACATGTAAGCCAAAACATATTTTCAGAGTTCTATTTGAGGAAGGGATACATATTGGTCTCTCTTGATGATTTAAATCTCCTTATGAATGAAAAAGGGTGCTTCTTAGTTGTCTCAAGTTCTAGTCTCTAAAAACAATGTACCAGTACAGGAACAGGCAAACCACGGCATGCCAGACAAATCCAGCCTGCTGTTTTTGAAAATAAAGTTTTATCGGAATACAGTTATGCCCATTCACTTACATATTGTCTACAGCTGCTTTGTCACTACAACGCAGAGCTGAGTAATTGCAACAGAGATCATCTGCCCTACAACACAAAGTATTATCTGGCCTTTTACAGAAAAAATTTATATTGGTAAATATAAACCAAATATTTTCACTTTGTCAATTATCACATCTGCTTGGCTATGGGAAATAACATTCTTATTTCAAAGAGTACTAAGATGACAGATACAGAATACAACAAAATAAAAATAAGTAAAAGAAATTAGAGTAAGTGAGAAATCAGGGTAAAATGAGTCTGGGGAATAATATTAACATATATACAACAAAGTAATGCCTAACTGTTCAATTTGGACACAAATGTTGCTTTAACCTTACCAGCAGCTAAAGTACAGAAGGAGACAGAACCAGTTCTACAAGTTCACTACATCCAAAATGCTGAAGCCTATCAGTTGCTCAAGAAAAAAACCAAACAACTTTCAGTTTTTTTAAATGGGACAGTGTGGTACAAAGGAAAAAACATCCTCCCCAACATGCTGAGTTCCAGTCGATACAAAAGCAAGTTTTGTACAGCTCTGCTATATGAAGTGTTTGTTAAACACTCACTGTTCCTTAAATAAAATGAAGCACCTATATAGCCAACCAAACGCCAAAGAAATGTAAGCTGACGTGACCTTTCCTTGTCCTTTTGGATCCTGGCATAAAACTTAGGTATATGCAGCAATATGGCCACGTACAAGGAAAGTCACCATCTCCTACAGGTGCCTACATGTTGAAACCAGGGACGTCTTCCCAAGGACACAGAGCAGACTCTATTAAAGGAGCCTGGGTCTCCTTTAAACTAGTGAATGTATAAAACCAACTTATGAAAGCTTATACTTAGGACTTTTCATTCAGAGATAATGCACTAATATCAAAATTAATTGGACAGTCGGACATGGAAACAGACACTGTAGGTGTACTCACAATTACCATTAAAATGATATTCTACCCAAACTGATATCAAAAGGCTTTACTGTGCTAAAATCATCTTACTTTAAAAAGGAAGTTGGTAGACCAAGGCAGACCTGATCATCTAGTTTGGGGAATCTCAAAGAGAGCTTTGCCTGATGACTGTATAGGGAGAAAGGGCATGTGAACCATTCTTCTCCTATTACACAGTAAGTGAGTCAATTACTTTGGGATCGTTTCTCCTTGTCATTCGCTCCCTATCCATGGAACATATGGGGCCAATACATATCTTTCAATGTTGCTACGATAGCGCCTTTTAATACATCATATCAGGGGAAAAAGTCTAAATATTACCTTCTGTAGAAGCTGCATCAATCATTACTCTTTGCATGAGTACTGGTTCCAATCCAAAGTCGAAAACTATGGTTTGGCGAAAAGTTCCAAATATTTCTGTGTTAAATGCTATCCCGACTTTATACACGTAATGATCTAATCCATTTTGGGCCATCTTTCCTCCTATCCATTCTTGACAGTTTTCTGGGACTTCTTGTGATACCTGGGTAGTACTATCTCCGGCAGATATTGCAATGATACTAAAATGAGGACGATGCGCATCATAAAGCAACGCTACACGACACAGCATTCTTGCAGGCTACAAGGAAGTTAAAATAATTCATTGAGTACAAGGGGGTGAAAATCCAATTGTAATTGGGCTCTTCAATGAAAATACTTCCATAAAGGACTTTTACTTTCCCATGCTTCTAAGATACTATGTTAAAAATACAAATTGTGCTCATAAGCCATTAAAGAAAAAAAAATCAGAATGGTTAAAAAAAATCTGTTGTTAAAATGATATATTTATGATGTTAATTATACCTCAATAAAGTTGAAATTTTTTTTAAGTGATATATTTATGCTACATCATTAGCTCTCCTTCTTTCTGGGATTATGTTCACCTTTCACTGTGGCAATGGCTATTACCCTGTATGACCATCGACCTCCAACTTTCCACACCCTTAGCCTAAAAAAGCTTTATCTAGCCTCAAGCAGGAAGTCTTCACAGCTGGGCAGTTACCCCTGAAAGTACTGGATTGGGTTCAAGGCTGAAGCTAAATGTTCCCAGATTTTTCATCCCAAGATGCAGATGGTACAGTGGAAGGAACACCACCAAAAAGTACACAAAATGTTTCCACTGCATATATTCACAGAAATTTTTACTTTGCTTCATCCTTAAAGTTTGAATATTTTAATTCAAGATGGGAAGCACTGTGAAACGTCTATTTAATATAATGCCATTATTACAAATAACCCCATTATTCAAATAACCCCATTATTACAGAATTTGTGATTTCATCAAATCAAATATAAAAATAAGTTGTCCTTGTTTTAAAATCTTAGAACTGCCAGATTAAACAATTCAATTTTTAAATAGTTAATTATAAGCCATGAACCCCATCCTACGTTCCAAGTTTGGAAGACAATATGTCAAAGACCTCTTTACCAAATAATAAATAAATAAGCAAACATCTAGAAAGATTTTATCTCAAAATCTAAAAAAAAAAAAAAAATTGTACCTTTAATTATCAAAATACAGAAATACACATTAGCACAATATAGAACCTACATTAAAATGTACTTAGATTAAACATTTTCAATGATCTTTTAACACAGAGATTTAAAGGTCAAAAAAAGCTTTAAGAAAACTGGGAAAAAATTCCATTATTTAAGTAGCTTAAATTCATACCTTACAGGTGAGAGCGAAGGTCCACGTCTGGTGAGACTTTTTGGTGTTGACAGTAACCGTCAAATCAGGATTGTGTTCAACCTTTACCCCTTCTATACATTCACTCAGCTGAAAGCAGAGAGCAAGGACTGTTATGCTTATTATTCCTAAAAGAACATACAAAACTTCTGGCACAGTAAGTAAATGTCAACAGTAAGATGTGATGGAACTGTTTACAAAGCAAGGTATCTTATACATTAATTTTCAATTCTTTGTATAAAAACAAAATACAATAAAGCTAAAATAAGAGACATAAGAAAACAAACAACAAAAAAATGGCAGTAAAAACTCCCTGAATAAAAATAATATAAATGCCTGCAAATCTCCAAACAAACAGCTTAGTTCTATGCTTTATTTTAGCAAATGGTTCTCCTTTTGCTACTAAACACACTTTATCAAGAATCAAGTTCTTCATATAGAGGATAATGAAATAAACCAAAATACAGCACAAATAAAGTCAAGACTAAAACAAGGTCATTATTTCAAACAAACAAACAAAAAAATGCAGTTTATTTTCCTCACCACTTTCTCAGGAGATAATGAATTCATCCACTTTTCTATCAAGGTTTCCATGTAACTGCCTGAGAACTGTTTATTCTCATTTTGCTGTTTCAATTTTATCAACCGTGAAGCATATCTTTTCTGCCATTCTGCTAGTTCTTCCTGGGAATGTGCTGAAGTACACTGGGCACCATACCTACAGATTCCTTGCTCTAAAAATCTAAGTAGAATAGGAAAGACTGTTTTATCATATACTTTGTTGGACCATTTAAAAAATAAACTTTCAGCATTTGCCCTCCAACTCTTCAACAACGAAAACAAAACTTAATCTCCTGAAAGGCCATATTTATCACACTGTCTTGCACAGAGGACGATGAGGAGGTTTACAGAACATTTACAACAGTTTGTCAAAACAGCAACTCCCCATATTAACTGGCCTTCTTTGGAATAAGGGGGTGCTAATAACTACCCCCCACCCACAAAAACCACCATTGAAAAGGTAGCTTCCTTCGTGATGTAACAACTCTATTAGACAATTCCTCTTAGAGCAGCATTTTTTACAGCAACACTGACATCAAGTGGATTCGTTTGTCAAACACAGGTATGCCCTACTTCCCAAAATGATATGACCTAAAGAAAATTTTCCACAAAGAATTTCATTCTGAATAAAACTTTAATATATCATTAAATTATCATTTTTAAGGCTTCTACTTTTCATCTTTACTCTTTTCTATATTACTATTACCTATATTTCATTGAAAATACTGGACTATATTAATTTGCTTGAAGTTTTAAATAAATTAAGAATACAAGTTTTATATTAGAATCACAATTCAGTAGATTAAATTCTTCAATAGGTAAATTCATAAGTGTTCACTTTAAAGGTTACAGAGTTAATGGTCTCTCAGCGTTTATGACTCAGAAAATTCAATTGACAATTCTGCAGTCAAAAACAGATAAAAATACAAGACTATGATCATTAATTTTTTTTAAGTTTCAAATACCCTCCAAAATTATTGGTCCAGCCAATTCTTAAATGACTGAAGCATAATAAAATAAAGTATCTTATGATAAAAATAAATAAAAATTAAACTATAAATAGCAAAATGGAGGTGTGATATTATATATCATAGGTAGTTTTTCAACTGGTAAAATATGGATAGTAAGAAATACAAAATGAACCACAGCACAATTTAAATTATCAAGTGGCTCACCCTTTTTGACAAGGTGAGTGTATATAAAGCTTTTCTTAATGATACATAAAGTACTTGAACTTAAATTATCCTATTTAAGTTCACTTATGCTTCATAAAACATGTTTAAAATTATGCATTTGTTTCTCTTAAGTATGTCTTAATGAGCCAAATATTTCTTTGTGTTTCTACTGCTTTGTTTTAAATTTTTCCCCTAAAAATTGAAGGTTGGATATTCTCTTTTGGACTATAAATTTTCTTACATTTCCTTTGCACAAGTGGATTGTGGTCTAACTCTCCTACAACAGGATTCCACCAGGATTTTCAAAATTCACTACTTAGTTTATTTGTACTATAAAATCAAATCTGATGTCTTAACTATGCAATCATCAAAACCATGTATCAAACTTCCTTCATTATCAAAAGTAATCTAGAGGAATGAGATTTTATATCTAAAATTCCACTAGTTACTAGCTCTTAGAAAAAGAACCGAAGAGTTCACCTTCTAAATGTGACTAATAATTCTTTCCACCTTAGTATATAATTATTAAGTTCTGAAAGGTTAGCCCTTCAAATATAAATTACTGAAATTCTATATAAGGATTACATGAAGATAACAGATTTTTTTAGAAAAGTTATTAAAATAATTCAACAATTCTTCATCTATTTTATCTTCTACTTCAGTTTATATAATTCCAATTACCATAACTTAGGTAAATTTCACATAAGCAAGAGACGAGCAACTAAATTCAGTCATAACAATCCAACTGGTATTATAAGAGACTTCCAAACAAGCCTTAACAGTCTCTGTTCATATCACTGTTTTTGCAATTAAAAGAAGACTCATCAATATGGCTTTGGCTTTTATTATTTAATGATAATGACCATTATGGCTTCTGTTTCAAATTGAAATAAACCATTTTACTCAATCATTACACTTCTTCCTTCACATATTCTCTTCTTTAAAAAAGTGAAGGATAATTAACTATCCTTTGATTAAAAACATGTCATGGGTTTAAAAAAAAAATTCACATTACCTTTTACACAAAGTATATTCCTCGCTGCTTGTGATTCCCCTAGGTGGTGGGCGGAAATGCCAACCATTACAAGATCCTAGAGAGTAATCAGGATATATAGTCTTATCATTTGAGGCTTGCTAATAATGCTGATATTTTAATGTGTAAGAAATTCTATAAACCCTCCACACACATCATCCCAGATGATGTAAAAAGAACATGATATACTTGCCTCTACCAAAAAAAGTAATTGACCAATCAAATGAGTTAAATGAACCATATGTAACTTAAAAATCACTGAAGAAGCAGTTACCAAGCAGCTAAATCAAATCTATGACCCTGACTATCCTAGCAACAGATGGGCATATTTCCAGTGCAGTCTCTTTTCAAACAACTAAAGGGGGGGATATTGGCAGGCTTGTCATTTCTTAAGTATGAGATGTGTCTCTATTAGGAATACTTCAGGAATGAGAAAATTATGCATCCTGGAAGTAAACTTTATAGAACAAATCCCAACACTGCATACTGGGTGAGAAGTTCCACACTACCACCCATGTTCCTCAGGATTTGTCTGACACATGTCACTGCATAAAGTAATCCTTTTTTACAACTAAAATAAAGTTCAAAAAGTTTAATTCTAAGGTAGGAGTTAAAAAAATAACATCTGTTTACATCTGAATGAGCTTTGATTCATTCTGAATATAATAAGCCAGGGAAAATAGGGCTTAAGAGAAAAAAGACTAGTGTTACAGAGGCTGAGCAGCAACAGGTTTTTAAGGACCTTACAGCCATTTTCTATTCCCTCACAAGTTACTGTGCCTCCCTGCCCCCACCAAAAAATAAAGATATTCAGCCAACTTGAATTGAAAGCTGGATTTCATCCCTTACTAGCTGTATGACTTGGGAAATTACTGAACTTTAATAAATATCAGTCATCAGATGGAGAAGGGCTCTAAGAAGTCAGTACACATTTTGTGAAAGCCGCTACAGCAGTACACAGTATCCAGCGACATGCAGTGAATGCTGGTCTCTCTTCCCTTTCCTCGGGCAAGAGCAGATTTTAATGGTAGCAGGAACAACTCAGTTTACAGATCAGAACTTCCAAAAAGTCATATTCGTACTAGCCTGGGATAGAGGGAGGAAAAAGACTTCCCCTTCTAAGGATTGCTAAGAATGAGTTTTAAATGTTGAACTACACGAAAGAGATGGCTCCAGAGTTACCTCGTACAACCGTTACTCCATTATTCTAAGAAAAGGGGACAGTGAAAAAATTGCTTTCACCCACGCCTATTTTTTTAAATTTCTTATATTTTTATATTCCTCCTACACCTCCACTCCATGTACTATAACTCAGTAAATTTCTCCCAATAATCAATAAAAAAGCAATGTCCAGAATCACAGCTCCTAGAAGTTACACAGTTTGGTACTTACCCTCTTCTAAATCTTCCATGTGATATCCAGAGAGGACGTTACTAGTTGCTGTCTGCAATTTTTCAAATGAAAGATATTTTTATCATAAGAAATACCCAGTTATGTTGAGTTAAACTTGGACATTTTTAATATTTTTTTAAAGCTTGAGTTTGAATACTTAGAAAATTTTAACATTAATATCTCAAATATTTTTGCTCTTTGCTTTATGTTAAACTATATTTAAGCACAGAAAAGAAGTACTTGTATGGCCCTCATTAAGGAAACTGATAGAGATTTCCTACATAAAAATTACCTGGTAGCAAAAGAAGAGACATCTAAGTCCCCAGTCCTGAACCCCGCAGAGCAGCGCCTTCCATCCACTTACTCATTTCACTCTTCTCTTCCTAACACTTACAGAATGACCAGGTAGCGAGGTGCCTTTTCACCTGTATCAAGTGAAAGGCCACCACTTGGGGGCCTGGGAGCACATCCTGCCAAGTCCCCCTCACTCTGGGATGAGCCCTTCTCCACAATGGAGACCACGGCAGGGACCCACTCACTCTGACTTCCTGGTTTTCTTGACTCCCTTGGTGCAGATAAATCCCCAATGTGTCCCTTTGGTTCTAACTTTAAGCTCTACACCCACAATTCCAACTGAGTGCCAGCTACAGCACTTTCTATTAATTATTCTACAGCATTTTACATGCTGGATCACTGTCAGCCATGTTAGCAGCCTGCCACCGCCCCTTTGCATCCCACCCCTCACAGGGGATCTGGCACATGCTGGGTACTCAGTAAATGGTGGATGAACGGCTGGATGCACTTCGAACACAAGATGCCCAAAACAAAATACATCAACTTTACTGCAAATCTCATTGTCTTTCACTGCTCCTCATCTCAAGTTCATAGGCTCATCTTCCCCCAAAAGAGCAAGACTGAAATTATGAAAAACCATCTCGAACTCCTCCCGCTTCCGCCCTGCTGAGTCCTCTCCAAATGCTGCCCAACCAGATGGAGAATGTGTCTTACAGTCTCTACTCCCACTGCCACTGTCCTAGGTAAGGCCCTCCTGACTACTTCTCATCTATCCTTGAACCAACTGCCGATCTTACCCTGCACCGGTCTTCATTTAGCTACCCCCACCCTTTGACCTCAGTTCCCCCACTTCTGTCTCCCTAGTTTCCCTGCAGGGTGCTCACCTCTCCTTTCCCAGCCTGTACTTCCATTACAGCACTTACTAACCACAGGCTGCCCTGGGGTCACAGTAGCAGTGCATCTTGGACTGGCCCACCACACTGATTTTCATTAAGCTCAGCTTTCCAAAACCCACACAACCTTGAGCAGCACAGGTGCACAGTAAATGCTGAGCTGAATCAGGAGGAGGAAAGGGTATCCCAGGTGAAATGTGGAATGTCTTGTACCACAGAAAGAGTGTCATTAATGCTAATTGGGTATAACTGAAACAATAATATCACCATAATTCACATGTTGTTAATTAAATTGGACTTTTGAGGTTGGGCTGGAACTAAATCACTATAATAACTCTACTGGAAAATGCCTTCTTATTCTCACACTGCTTACTAATAAGTTTTTAAAGACAATCCATTCTTTTTGTAAAATGAGGACAGCATCTAAGAAACTAACAAATCAGTTGTAATTGTTCACATTACAAGGATTCTATGCTCACAAAAAAAGACGCATCAAAAGATCTCCTTAAATTGTATAAGCAAGCTTTAAATGCCATAGTCCTACACTAGCCCTTAAAAATTTATTCCATCTACACAGAATGTATAAATATAAAAGCCAAAATTTTACTTCAAGTATGAATTTAAAGTATCTCCTCTAAAAATTTTATCAGAATAAATTTATCAGCCCTGGCCAGTTTGGCTCAGTGGTTAGAGTGTCAGCCAACAGACCAAAGGGTTCCCAGTTAGATTCCGGTCAAGGGCCTGCATACCTCAGTTGCGGGCTCGATCCCGGGCCCTGGTTGGGGCATGTTCTGGGGGCAACCAATTGATGTGTCTCTCTCACATCGATGTTTCTCCCTCCCCCCCCCCGAAAAGCAATGGAAAAAATATCCTC